AGGAAAATGATGGGTCCGTTCTACTGAGAGACAATAAAGCCCACAGGGTTGTTGGAAGTGGATCAATCAGGATAAGGATGTTTGACGGAGTTGAACGAGTACTGAAAAATGTCAGGTACGTACCAGAGCTCAAAAGAAATCTGATTTCTTTAGGTACGCTAGAGTCAAGCGAATGCTCGTTCAAGGCAGAGAATGACTACATCAGAGTAATCAAAGGCCCTCGTGTCGTCATACAAAGTGTCAGGAAAAAGGGGCTGTACTCTCTTATCGGAAGAACCGTGATTGCTAATTCTATGTACTGTTTGGACTTAGCAGACTCAAGCAAGAGCTGAGGGCCCCTCAGGGGCCAGGTGGAGAGAATCTTTACTTCGAAGCTTCTCAATTGAGGGTCAAGGTGGAGAATTGTTATTTTGACCCCCAATTAATGAACTAAGTTAAAATGACACTTTTGTAATGTGACACCGCTCACCTACGACATCTCACCTACCGTTCACCTACCGCTCACCTATTTCCCATCTACCACTCTCTTGCTTCTATAAATAGAGAGGGTGTGAGACTTAGGAGAGCAAGGGAAGAGATCTTAAGCTACCACAAAAGAGGAGAGTATAGCTAGAGAGCTAGAGAGGAGGAGAGCATCTTGAGGCCTTGTATTAAGGTGTCGCTTGAGAGGGAGGCCATAGAAGGAAGATGAGGGCTCATCTCTATGTATAAGCTATGTATTCTCCATTTCTTTTGCCTTAGTGAACTATTTGATTGATTCCCTCCCGTGGATGTAGATCCAGTTGGATCGAACCACGTAAACGATCTGTGTTTGCTTGTGTTCTTTGCGTTTCATTTCTATGCCACGAAGTACATATCTCACAACAGCGTATATTTGCTCATTAAACTTGTTCCCCAAATTCATCTCATCCTGCTTTCTTTTTATTGTGAAGCTGAATGTGTACATAACTTTGCTAAACTTTAACAAAAAATAATGGCAGATACCCTTTTTCTTAATATAAATACATAAATAAGTAACTTTAAAAAACCACTGAGAAGCATCAAGAATCATTCCCCTTGCAATACCACTCAACAATTCACCTTCACCAATTACATAAGTGGATTATATGAACATGTAGTAATGGCTTCCAATTCATCAGGAATATTTTTAGGTTTTCACTTCGTGAAAGTAACAGAAGTCTTTGCAAAGAGCTGAGAAGCCTGAGCGTGGATGTTCAAAACTGCCTAAGGCTCATCAGCTCAGGAATCAGAAGAGAGATAAATAGGAATAAAGTTTTTAGGAATGATTTTATCTGGGGGCATTTACATACATATCACACAATTATTATATATTTACATATCTCACATCTTATCATTCATATTTACACATTTAGCTCTCAAATCCTTAATATCACATAAAAGTAATGCTGTTATCACTTTTTAAGAGTGAAATACACATTTTTTCATGTAAATATGAAACTTTAGGCGTGGGATATGTAAATGCATAAGAATTATGAGCTAGTAAATTTCCCTTATATCTATTGCTAATGATTTCCTTTATTTGTCTTCTCTACCTCTGCTGGAAATTCAGGGTTCGAAGACCATACGTGTACGTAAATGCGAACAAGGCTGTGAAGCCAATGAGTACCACAATCATGAGGCTCACGTAGTCATCCCTGTACCCATAATGATTCATAACAATGTCTCTAATGCTCTGGTCTGCTTCACCTGGCACCTTCACCAAGTCGTGCAGGTCACTGTATTGCGTCACTATGAGCCCGTACAATGTCCATGCCACAGGGCAGCACCAGTAGTACCAAGACCACCATTTTGGAATTAGCTGCAGATCCAAAAGCTTTTTGTTAGATGATAACATTTTATGCATCATCTTAGCCTTTCTAATATACTATAGGTGTTGTTTTACTTACAGTTCTAGGGATGAAGAGTCCAGAGAATAGGTTAAAGAGGAAAAAGAAGCAGGAGGATAAGATTCCAGCGACTTGAATGTTTGGAGTTACAGCCACCGTCATCATCCCATAGTATGTGAAATAGAGGAAAGTGAGGAAGGAGATGATAAAGAACCACAAGAACTTTGAAACAGTCCACTCAAAGCTCATCATGGAGTACACCATAAGTGAATAATATGCTGTTTGGAAGAGCACATATGGCAGCTCAACTATCAACTGTATTTGAGAGTAAAGCAAATTATATCAGGCTCTTTCTATCTGATGATTGGTGCCAGCTTAATCTATGGCATAAGGATACCTGTGAAAGAGCATAGGGTAGATCCGAGTACATGCCTGCAGCCTTCTCACGATAGAAAACCGACCTCTCCGTTGTGATGGCTGGCTGTACTGTGGAGCAGTTACCGAAGCCAACGAATATAACTGCAAGGTACATTGCTCCGATGACAACAGTAATATCAGTGGATTTTTCCCTGGGTCCAGTTAGGAAATTGTTAGCTCACTCTTAGTGGCGTGTTTGGTGAACAAATGATTTTAAAGAAATGATTACTTTTTTCATTCATGAGCATGGCTTCTATAGAGCCATACAAATCTTTTGCAAATAACCGGTACACTTCTTCTATTTTTTCTATTTATAAGTAAACCCCTCAAAATAAGATACAAATCTCAACACTACCCTTTAAGATGGGTAAAAGATATCCACTAAGCCCATCTTGTTATATAATCTAGATAAATCTAACGACCTAAGTCTTTTAGTGAGGTAGTCAGCCACTTGCTCTCTATTTTGCGCATTTAGGTTCCCAACTTAAATCTGGATTTACTGCATCCAGAGGTACGGTAGATTTAACAGATTTACTAAATCATACTTGCAGCACAAGCACCCCCTTAGAACAAGTTGATTAGAATGGCAGCATAACAGAAATAATTTACATACCTCTGTTTACCAATCTTCCAAAAAATGGTTCCAAGAAGCAGAGCGGTGACAATGGTAACACCTAGTCTGGCGAGGTTGTACTCTGGGCTTCTCCAATATACTGACCAGTGCTTCCACAAGCAGATTTTGAACTGACCAAAATTGGATTGAGGAAATGGAGTTGGGAAGTAGAGATCAGTTGTACCAGGAAGTGGTTTGCTCAGCTCTCTAACCAATGCTGTGTTGCGCCTAGCGAAGGAATGAAGACAGAAGGTAAAATAGAAGAACTATGGAATAAAGGCGCAAAGAGAATAATAGTTTCTGTTTTTATTGGCTCTTGACGTACATATTTAAACTTGAAGATCTGTATATCTCTGCAAAATCAATTAGCAATCTTGCCTCAATGGAAATAGAACTTGCTTCCAGCATCCAATCTGCAGGGTTGCGTTCATTCTTTATCTTTTCAACTCCTGGAATATCCTATTAATGATTTATGAATGATTATTAGATCAAAGCAGTCTTCTCAGTCACTGAAGAGAAAAATGAAAGGAGTCAAAAAGTTTCAATTCAAGTAAAATTTCACTTTTTCATGCTTGTTTTGGAACTCATCCAGACAAATATCAAAATGAAGTTGATTTTAGAAGCACAGACCTCAAAATAAGAAATCAATTTCTGAGAATTCTTTCCTAAAGGTCCATAGTAAATGATTTGACCCCCTCTTTTCAATAGAAGCAGCTGTTTGAAGAAACTCGATTGTTAGAACCAGATAGACTTGAATAGAAAAATACATATACGCATATTAAACAATCTAACCTCATCAAAGGATTCAAATATATCAATGCTTGGCTGATGGATGGTACAAACAACAGTTCTTCCCGTGTCAACAGTGTTTCTCACTGTTCTCATCACAATAGCAGCCGCCCTCGCATCAAGTCCTGATGTAGGCTCATCCATGAAGATGATTGAAGGATTAGCAACCAGCTCCACTGCTATGGTCAATCTTTTCCTTTGCTCTGTGGATAGACCAGAAATTCCTGGTATCCCCACTAATGCATCCTTAAGGTTATCAAGCTCAACTAGATCTATCACTTCATCAACGAATCTCTGAAGATAAATAAATCAAAAGTTAAAACTTTATTGCATCTAAAACCTATTAGAATGAATGTTTCTTTCATATTTTCACTTTTCACCAACCTAGCCACAAACAATAGAAACTAAGCTTGATGAAGAAGGGGTAGAAGCTATACATACCATTTTTTCTTCTTTGCTTACATCACTGCTGAGGCGCAATAATGCTGAGAATATCAATGATTCTCGGATAGTAAGCTGAGGGGAGTGAATATCAAACTGCTCACAATAGCCTGATATCCTTGCAAAAGTTGCCTGATTCTTAGCATAGCCTGAAATTCGAATATCTCCTTCAATGTAGCCCCCGGTCTTTCTGCCTGCCAAGACATCCATAAGGGTTGTCTTTCCAGCTCCACTCACTCCCATAAGGGCAGTAAGAATTCCCGGACGAAAAGCTCCAGTAATACCCCTCAACAATTGAAGTTTATCTTCAGTAATTCCTTGCTCTTTCATTTCCTATCAAACCAAAAATCTCTGATTGTTCTATTTGTTTTGTAGTGAAAATTGAGTTTTTCATTGAAAACCACACACAATTAATCAAGAAAGAAAGAGAAGCTCACCGGAGGCGTATCAACATAGTAGTTCACTTCATTGAAAGACATGGAAAGTGGTGTGAAAGGAAGAACCATTCCTCTTTTTGAGGCAGCTTTTTTTGCTTGATTCTTGTATGCTTCATAATCACGCCAATCAGGTGAAGCATCACTATTTCGAACTTTTGATCCTTGTATCTTCATCTCAGCTGCATTAACAATAAATACCATGATGATCTCAGAAATTGTATGATTTTTTTCTAGAAATTCTATCAGTTTGCCGATATTTGTTTTATATTAATTAAACCCAACACACCCATATTATTTCTCTTACCTCCTGTTATAGATCGAGAAGAAGAATTTCTGGATGATAGAGCCCTTCTAATTCGTGGATACTCCATTGCCTCGACTTCCCCAGCTTCCATGATCTCCACTGCCTTGTTCTCTGATATGAGAGGATTTGGCTTGCCCAGAGCTATCATTATTCCCCCGCAAAAAAAAGAAGAAAAATTGAATGTTATTGATAATGCCAATCATTCGTGCATCAAATCTATTTAGCATAAATTGAGTGACTTACGATTTAGATACATGAGGGACAAAGTGAACATAGCGTTGAATAATACAGCATATAGGAAAAGAATGAAGGCTGACTTCCAAAACCAGCTCTCATCGGTGGAGACATTGCTATTCTCCAGGACTGCCACCCCCAATTTTCTGCCATCAGGTGCCTGCCATTTTTACTCAGGATCAGCCTGAAGGCTCAGATAATGGAAAAAAAACTTTCCATTTTATTCATTGAACAAAACAAGCGAACAAGCATGATATATTTTTGGGAATATTTACATTCATTCTACTGAATTCTTATGTATTTACATGTCTCACACCTAAACTTCAATTTTTGCATACCACCTTCACAATGTATGAAAAGGTATGTTTCGCTTTTAAAAGTTGAAACTGGTGGTATTTTTGATGTGATATGAAAGATTTGGGTGGTATAAAAGCAAAAAAAACTGAAGTTTAGGTGTTATATGTGAATGCCCCATTTTAGGAAGATTTAGCTAAGTTTGCCATGGCTACTCAACAGGAAGCAGTTACACTATCATAGGGTCTTAAGTTAAGGAGTATGGCTGTAGTTAAGACTTACAAGTTTGTCCATCCATCTAGGAGAGAACATCTCATTAATCGTAAGAGCAGTAAATGCATACGTCGTTGGAGAAATTTGGTAACCCCATTTCCACCATTTTGGTATCATCTCTGAAAAACATCATAACCTCTTTGTTTAGAATCCCGCACTTATGTTTTAAGGCTTTTAAGGAATACCACATTGTCCACACAACATTGTTAGTTCCACATATGGTTAAGGCTACAAGAAGGAGAACCTTTAGGTAGAATGAAGCCACTAACAGCAAACATGAATAGTGTAACGAGACATGCCAAAGTGTTCGCGGTTGTCAAATCTCTAGCCACTCCAGCCACAACCCTGAAGAGGCCTGCTGCCATCTGCTGAATGAGGAAGAAGATGATCAACTGCTTGAAGAATCTGCTCCAGGCAAAAGGTGTTAGAAAATATTACTGATTACAAAATCTCTTCCTTGCAAACTAGAATATTAACGGTGATATGAATTATGTAACAGAATATTAGATTCAAGCATGAAGCTTTTTGAGAATTCAAGTTTTAATGAATCGCCATGAAGTAGGTGGGCGACTTGCCTATCAGCTTCTGGGGCAAATCCTATTGTGAAGTATGTCATCATCACCCAAACTGCAGATTCTAGAATAGATATAGGAATCCGAATAATGCAATTTGGAACGCTGAAGATCCATGTTGGGTAGAAAAGGAGCTCCCTTTGCTTGTAAAACACAGGAAGCCTCAATAGAGCAAGAGCTAATTCAGCAAATCCATTGAACATGTTTACAATGACGCTGTATACGATTGCTCCAATGAAGACTGACCCATCAGCTTCATTCCTTGTATGCATGTTTGTCCTCAGGAAAACGGTTGAGGCAATCAATGCCAATATGGTGAGCTTCAAAAAAGAAATAAAAATAAAAAGTGGACATATTGAGAGCGCCCATAAAAAAATTGCTAGTTTTGATTTCTTAGAATGTACCTGGACTGCTTTGAAGACATAAACAAAGGAGTTCCTCTTGATCAAAAGCCATTCCTTTGAAATTGATACATTGAGGAGTTCCTTCACTGGCACAGAGCGCTTGTTGAACACCAAGGCTGCTCCATGACTCTTCCTCTTGTCAAAAGGGTATGAGAGATTATTCAGCAAACTTCTGCCAACGTGAAAGCGTTTGAAATATCTAACAAATTCTGTTGCAGAAATGTATCGATATGGTTTAGTCTTTTCTGCCCAATATTGTTCCTGATCCTTCCTTGAGGTAACCTGCCAAGAAATCCCAACACATATTTACAAGCAATCTCTTGAAAAGTACTAGTTTCCAAATATATTTAGCAACCAGATTTCACAAATTCATCAATCAGACAAGGTAAAGTTATCATTGTATGATTTTATTAATTGAAACCTTACCTCCTGCAAAAAGTCAGCGGTGCCCTTCCTCTCAGGGCATTTAAACCCACAACTCTCGAAGAACTCGAGGGCATTCACTCGCGGACCCTGGTAGACTATTTGGCCGTCGGCCAGTAGGATTATGTCATCAAAAAGGTCAAAGGTCTCGGGCGCCGGCTGGAGGAGGGACATAAGTATAGTGGCTTCACCTAGATGCACAATTTGTTGGAGGCACCTCACAACTTGATATGTGGTTGAGCTATCCAACCCTGTCGATATCTCATCCATAAACAATGTCTTTGTTGGCCCTATAATCATCTCACCTGAGAAAGATTTGTCCCATTTATTCCCATATTTTTTTTCACATAATAGAGCTAAGATGCTAAGAAACTACATGCTCGAGGATCTTTCTTACTTCATGGCATTCATATCTTGAAGTTTTCAATTTATTCTTTAGGGGCATTTGCATTCATAACATCCAATTCCTATGTTTTTTTACATATTTAACATCTTCATTTCAATATCTTTCATATCACATAAAAAATACCACTTTCATAAATTCTAAACAGTTAGATACACCTCTTCATGCATCGGTAAGTTGGTATGTATGTAAAAATTGAAGTTTAGGTGTTAGCTTCGTAATTACATAGGAACTGAGTGGTATGTATGTAAATCCTCCTGTTTTTTATCTGCTAGTTTTCAAATGAAAATTAATGTCGATGACCAATTTTTCAAACCTGTAGTTAGACGTTTCTTTTGTCCTCCTGATATTCCTCTCCTCATCTCATCACCCACAACAGTATCAGAACATATATCCAGTCCCAGAATCTGCATTTCTCCAATTGGCACAAAAAGGAATGAATTTTCATGAGCTTTTAATTCATGCAGCAAATAACCAGCTTTCTTACCCTCAATGTGTAATCTGTTTGAAGAGTGTTCTTCCCACCTCCAACAGAAATGGCCTAAAAAAATCAAACAATTATTATAAACAAGGCCTAAACATGGCTTACTGTGACTCTAAAATTTACATATATACCTTCATGAACAAATCCACTTCAGGGTCAGGCAATATGCCCTCAGCCTTCTCCCTTCTGGTTAACTCACTCAAAAGTTCTGAAAAGCAACAAAAATACAAATATAAGAGCTCTAATATTAACTACTAAAAAAAAAAGTTCTCACAATACTTTATACAGTCAATTAAAATGTTAAAAACTCGTGCTATTTTCATTGCCGCGGATTTTAAATCTCTTCATTTGTTACGCTGCAAAGGCTTTTATTAACAGTTTTAAATATTTTTATGTATTTTTCAAAAGTGCCTTTAAATAAGTACTGCCATTTATTGATTATCCATTTATTATTTATTTTTGTAGTTGATGCGGAAAAATGTACATGAATGTACAAATCAGTACCATTTCTATCCCCCACGCCCTGACATTTGGAAGAGAAGTCGAGCGTCTCATTCACAGTCATTTCACCGGCATGCACATCATTCTGGCTTATGTATGCTGCTGTCTTTTGTGGGACAAACTCATGGAGCTTATATCCATTGTATGTTATTTCACCTCCCATCTGCATCATCATCATCATCATCATCATCATCATCATCATCACATCATCATCATCAGTTTTGCAGCAATATTAAGTAGCCATTAACTCACTTTTTTATATTTATACCACCCAACATATCATTGTTTTAACTTTTAAAACGTGAAATGCATCTTTGCATCCATAGGTAAGGTGGTATAATAGATACTTAGGTGTTAGATATTTAAATACATATGAAGTATGTGGTATGGTTGCACTGCTACTTTAGTAGGAATAAATATCATATGTGTGTGTGCGCGCGCGCACGCGCGTGCTTGCGCGTGCTTGTCCATTTATGATATTATGTAGAAACCTCGAGAGATGGGTCAAGTTTCCCTGCCAATGCACGCAACAGTGTCGTCTTTCCTGAAGATGGAGGGCCTAAGAGTAATGTCATTCTGCAAGATAATAACATAAATGATTACTCTTACTTTTTTTTTTATTAATGTTTGGCTGTAAATATAGTATAAAAATGATTACTTTGAAGATCTTATAATTCCAGAGATATCCTTAAGGATGTTGAGAGTAGCCATTTTTGTAAATTTGACACCAAACAACCTAACAATTGATTCTGCAATATTTATGGTGGCATTGAGAAGAGTTGGCAAAGCCCTGTTGCCCACATGACATTTAGCCTCCACACATAGGTTCTCAAATCTGATCTCCACAGTTGGAAGGTCTATGCCAACCCTACAAGAAAAGTGCATTTGTATGAATACTTAATTAGCATTCAAATTCATCAATGTTAATATTGATTTTCCATTCTCTACTTATGTTAAGCTCCCCATAAAAGGGGGAACATTTGCTTACATACCACTTCATTTTTATTTACATATCTACCACTTTTAAACTTCAATTTGCATACATGCCATCTTACCTAATGCATGAAAATGTGTTCTTCACCTTGTTAGGAATTTCACATTCATCATATCACACTCCTAAATACTTATATTTTGGGGGCATTTGCATACAAACCGCTCAATTCCTATGAAATTACGTATCAAACACTCAAAAATTGCTTTTTTTTTTTTCATTTATGCCATCCAAATCTTTCATATCACATCAAAAATACCAAAATTTTAACCTTTTTAAAGTGATATACACCATTTAATGCATAGGGAAGGTGGTATTTATGCAAAAATTAAAATTTAAGTGTTAGTATGTAAATACATAAGAATTGACTGGTATTTATGTAAATCTTCCAAAATAAAAGAATCATCCAACCTTTAATTAATAATAAACATGCGAATGAATACATAAAAATGGACAATTTATTTTACAATAAATATTTGGGATAATTACATAAAGACCCCCCAAGATATTTTCATGAATTCATATAGTTTATGTAGAATTGCTGAATGTATTGGAATAATTTTTATTTTCCCCTCTAAAAAATACTCTATTAATTGCTTATAAATATCCTAATATTTTGTCATAAAACTATTCTTTAATTTATCTTATCCACAAATCCAAATTGCCTAATTAAAAAAAAAAGAGAGATTTACATACATGCCACACAATTCTCATGTATTTACATATCTAACACCTAAAGTTTGATATTTATACTCATACCAACTTGATGTCATAAACCTTTTGTATAAAAAGATGTATTTGACTTTTAAATTGTTACTAACTGTGGTTATTTTTATGGGAGGTTAAAATTTTGAGTTTTATGCATGCAAATATGAAAGTTAATTAGGTGCTAGCCATGTAAATACTTAGGAATTGTGTGCTATATATGAAAAATGTTCCCAACTATTATGTATTAATATTTGAAACTCATTCATGCATTCATAGTAAAAACACCCATGCCGTGCATGCGAGCGTGAGAGCGTAATGCAATTTTGACTACAATCAAGGGCCCGTTTGGGGCAGCTTATAAGTGCGGCATAGTTTTTGAAAACGCCGCATAACCGTTTGGTTTGCGTGTTTTTAAAAACGCTGTCTGTCACGTTTGAGTTTTTTACACTAAATGCAAGCCGCAAGTCGGCCCCGGACTGCTGGTTGCTTATCCTAAAAAACATAAGTTTCAAAGATTCTTTTAGGCGTTTCCTAAATGCTGCTGGATTCTTCTTATTTTTATCCGAGAGAGAAATAGAGATGTGCCGAAACACTTGACAATATTAGAGCAAACAAATTTATAGAAAATTGACTTAATCTTTGAAGAAAATCTAACAAAATACATTTGAGATTTAAGTTATTTTAATTTAATGGCCGGCATATGCAAACAAAATTTTACAGAATCAAAGAAATCAGATGAAAAGCTTATGAAATATGTTACATATTAAACCTTAATTGGGTTTTAGTGTTGTTTTATATAATGTTAGAGCAAGGCCGGGTCTCATACATTTTGTTTTTGATACAAGGTATGGTCAATTAGAAGGAAGAGTTTAGGGGTATAATATGTAAATACATAGGAATTGGATGGTATGTATGTAAATGCCACATAATAAAAAAATGAAATAGATAATAGAAAACCTTTAAAAACTGGCTGTGCACTTCAATTTTGATAATTAAAAAATAAATAAAATCATGGGATTTTTTCAGAATTAATAATTGACTAAATTATCATAAAATATGCTAAAAATATAATTTCTTTGCTGCCAGCCGGGGTTAGGAAATGAGAGTTTAAATAATGCAGATCTCTTGCAAGTTGAATTTTAATATTGGTGGAAAATCTTAAATTTTTATTGAAACAATAATAATTCTGATTAATTAGAGTTTGTTAGGGGCAGCAGTGTGGCAGCGGTGCAGTGCTGCACTGTATTTTGTCTGTGTTTTCAAAGAACTACGGTAGAAAGCTGTGTTTTACAATATAAGTTGGCTAAGTGCTGTTGTTGCTAGAAAACTGAAGTCTGACTTTTTAACAAAAAAATAAATTGTAATCGTCACCCTAGGTTTTTGAACAATAACTTTTTCTATTGCTGTAGCAACTTCACTGTTGTTTCTTCAAATAGTTGCAGCTGTCCCAAACAAACGCTTAATACATCAATCAATATTAATCTCATTTAAATTTTAAATACTATGACACTTTATTTTACTAACTATATTCAAAATAATAATAAAAACTATGTATTCAATTAAAACAAAAACTATAGACATGCACGTGCGCGCGCGCGCACACACACACGCTCTTAAAAGACATTATAGCAAATCCTTCCTTTCTTCTTTCCTTCTAAAAATTAAACGCAATTGACCCATTCCATGAATGCTACGCACTCCCAATCCATCACATGCATCTTAAAACAAACAACATTTACTCTCATGCATGCAATTTATCTTTGTTTCTCTCTGCAAAATCATATATAATCGCATGAAAATCATTCATGACACACACACATAGATAAGTATATCAATGATAATCAATCATATCACTGTAAAAATATACCACATATACGAATATGACATTCTTCTTCTTCAAAAAGAGAGTTGGAGAGTTAAGAAAACAGTACTTGTCAATCCGATGGCGCAGCTTCTTAAGAAAAGTATCATTGTCCTCCTCAGCCTCCTTAAAAATGGTAGCAATGAACTCCTGCCTCTCAGCCAGACCCATTTTCCCCACATCCACAGCCTGATACTTGTAATATCTCCTCGCATCCTCGCTCGCCTCGCAGCTGTCCAGCGCCCGCCGGATCAACCCCGCCCGGATCACCCCCGTTCGCTGCCGGTCGTACGTCGGCAGCTTCTCCAGCGCCGCCCATCGCAGCGCTTCGTCCTCCATGGCTCTCGTTTCGCTCGCCCTCGACCGCGAGAACACCCCGTCGAAGCTCGCGGAAGGCAAGCCCATCATGTGGGAAGCCCTCTGGCTTATGCTTATGCTCTGGCTGCCACTCCAACTGTAGTCCATGCTGTTCATCTCTCTGTTTCTATTTAGCTTCCTATTCTTTCTGATGAATTGCAGTTTTCTCAACTGATCATTAATTACACTTGGAGCTGTTCTTGCTTCTTCTTCTTCCTTCTCCAGCAGCACAGAAGGTTTGGAGATTTGAAGAGAAGCAATGTATATATATATATATATACTCTGTGATTATGTGGAGATGTGCTCGGTCTACTAATTAATGCTTTTATATATATAGATTTTATATAAGAATATTTTTAGTCAATAAATGGGATTGTTTTAAATGGATAAAATAGATTTAAATAATATATAAGGGATCATTATCCATTTTATATATTTGTATTAGTGTTATGGAACATATTTATAATTAGTGAGTCAAGTTTTTTTATATGCATTTTTTTTTGGCTGATATACAAAATGATTAATGTGGTTTCTAGGGGAATATAGGGTCTGTTTGGGGCAGCTTATAAGTGCGGGCGTTTCATCAGCTTATCTGAAACTGCGTTTGAATTTTTACACCAAACGCAGGCCGCTGATCGACCCCCGCCACCGGGGCCCGGCACGCGGGCCGCGTTTCAGGATAAGCAGCTTATCCTGAAATGCACAAGCTTTCCCAAACGGACCAATAGTTTTATGACAAATTAAGACCAAGAATATTTATAATATAGGCTGACAAGTTTGATATTAGTCTCTCTCTCTCTCTCTCTCTATATATATATATATAGGCTGACAAGTTTGATATTAGTCTTGACTCTAAGTCAAGACTAAATTCAAATGAAGTATTGTTTAAGGACTGTTCTGAGATAGATAGATGATGTGTAATCATAAGAACATAGTCAGAACTTTCTTATACTAGCTCAGATTTAACTTTAAGTTTAACTTTTCCTTTTTGACCTAATCTTAATTAGAATTTGGTCATCCATCTTCAAGCCATCATAGAGACTGAAGGGACCAACTCAGATTCAACCATAACTCGCACATGACCAAGCCTTATGCTAAATCAAATTTGCCCAAAACCAGCCGTGATCATATTCTGAGCTAATTGGTGAGGCTATCAATGTTTTCTTTTTCAAATAGATGCAAAATTGCTCCATAGATTCATTGAGATTGGCCTAACCCAAGCCTTTGCTTGACTAAAATTTATTGTGAACCAAATTTAAGCTAAACTATAGCTTGAGTTTAGGCGCATTAAGCCACTGATTTAATCCTGAGTCCTATTAAGTAATTTGTATGGATCAAACATTTCTTAATTCATTATCCTAAATTACTTATTGACTCAATCTCTCACTGTCTTGAACCGACGCAAGCCCAAACTAATTAAATGGGTTCAAATAAACCAAACCATCATTGTAACCTGACTCGACCAAGCCTAGGGTTGGGTTTTCTTAGCCCTAACATAACTCTATACATTACTATATTAGACTTAACCCAAGTTGTTTAAGCAATCGTAAACTTACTAACCTAGGTTACATTAGCCTAGTACCAAATTATAGAAGTTAAGGCCCATCATTTGTTTCTAGAACTCTAACATGGTTATCCAACTTCAATGCTATTAATTGAAAGCTTCTTCAGATCTAAGCTTATTCCTAGAGCCAAATTAAGGACTCCCTCTACTAATTCACCCTTAAAAGATTTCATCTTAAGTTCTTACCCACTTGTCAGCCTCCAGAATCCTCCCAACAACCAAACTCATTGGAGCAATTGTTAACGGCTCTATTAGCATACTAATTTAAGGCACCATCAACTTATTACAAAGCTTGCTAATGGTTGTCACAGTGCAGCAAAAAGATCAAGATTAACTTGATATCATATATATCTCTATAGGTAATCTAAACAAACAGTTGACTACTTTACTATGGTGATCACTTGATACACGTGTGTCACGATCTCTACAACTTGTTGTACCTTCTAATTTTTATTATAGACATATGCCACCACAAAAAAAAAAAAAATCGTTAAAACTGTCGAAAGAACCTACAACTTTTTACACGTAAGAAAGATTGTTGTAATTACAGATGGTTTGTCGACAGTTTTTTATCTTGATTATTTGCGATGGCAGAACTACAATATAAACCGTCGCTTATCGACAATATTTTGTTTCCGGACTGTTTTTAATTATAACTGATGTGTTATTCAGTTGGTAATTAAAAAATATTAACCGATGACTATAGTGCGTCGGCTATATTGAAACCCGCCATCTGACGTGGTTTTAACTAACACATTTTTGTATTAAGCAATGGGGTCGACTGTCAGCAATAGTTTTAATGACCGACACAATTAAAGCCGTTGATAGACCATTAGAACAAATCCTATATCCTGACCAATTTCACCTTCCTCTCGGTCTTGTCCTAATTCCACTTGCGGCTATTCTCCACCAGAAACCCTCGCCTCTCCCCAAAATTTTTAGCCCTAATATGAACCAAGAAAAAAAAATGAAAGATAGTGCAAACTAATTTAAGTCAAATTGCTTAATATTATATGCAAGAGGTTATGGTGGCCTAAAAAATTATGCTTTGATAGGATGAGAAGTTCTCCATTCTATTGCTTTAGTAGAATCCAGAGCATTTCATCCAAGGGTTGATAACATTGATGAATCTCATATATAAAACAAGACAAATTTTGATTCCTAATGAGTGAGTGTTTAAAGAGATTACCTATGTGACAAAAAGAATAATCAAATCTATAATAGATAAAACTTAACTATGTGATGGATAGGATTATATTGGTATGAAGTTAAATTAACCTAAGATGTAAGCATAAGTCATTACATATTTGGATATAACTATTGAACAAAAAAATTTTGTGCTATGCTATTTGGTGATCATGGGAGGAAGCTTACAAAGGTATGTTATCAAGTTATGTGGAGGTTGTGGGAGGAATCTTATAGAGGGATGAAATTGTGGATGCATTTGTGGAAATGAAATTCACTTCACAAAAGAAAAAAAGAAATTATGATCATGGTTATATGCATGGATCAAATGAAACTAGTAAACCCTAATGGGTGGATTTGTGTTCATGCAAGGAGCTCTTGTGGGTGGGTGAGTAATTGCAACGAGTAATTGCGGCATAATATCATAATGAAGTACAAAGAAAATTGAAAGAAAGTGAGTAGAGGTTAGACTTTATTGCACAATGTGTTTTTAGTACTTAATGACTATAGAAGAGCACTCGAGTGTGCGAAGACAGATGGGTCTATGAGTGACGAGTCCAAATTTCTTTTGAAGAATGAATATATATAAATTAAAAGTTAGTATTATAGTGTTGAATAATTGAGAAATTATCATGTGATATAATTAATTGTATTCACAAAGAATCTAAACATTAATAAGTCTAATGCAAAACAAAAGTAGTTATCTTATTAGGTTGAAGATGGATGATCCTTAGAGCACCATTCTAGTGGATGAGGTAGGGTCACAAGACCAACATGCCAATTAACTTGAATGTTATAATACCTAGTGGCATAAGATAAAGTAGTAAATAAGAGAAAGATGGTCAAGAAAAATAAAATCAGAGAAAGATATTAAGGCCACAAGACCAACATGCCTGATAACTTGAATCTTAAGGTCGTCAAACCTTTATAGTCATAAACATGACTATAAATGAGTTGAGTCGAGTCAACTCTTTAAGCCGCCCCAGCTTGAGCCTGACTAATCGATCCAGTTCGATCTCTATCTTAATTCTACGAGTCCCAACTCAATCCACGACCAATCCCATAAAAGTTAGAGATTCCAACAACAGTTCCAAGAAAATGATATAGATGTTGATAGATTACAAAAAATAATAACAAATGATATACAATAATAAATATTTAAGTATAATATTTTATGTGGAAGGGCGGGCTCACAAGCAGACAAATTGGGCCTCTTATAAGATACTTATCCAGTCCAATGTGAGCGGCCTTATGAAATTATAGCCGCCGGAGTTTTGTCCGTTAGCATTTTGCCCGCCAAGGGAATATTTATTCCAAATAAGCCCATGAAATTAGGCCAATTTGCATGCATACCACACAAGCTTTTATGTATTTATATCTATATCTGACAATCAAAATTTGATATTTACATTTATGCCATCTTGATGCCATAAACCTATGCATGAAAATAGTGATTTCAGTTTAGACAAGATAGTGATGATGATATTTTATGTCTATGTGGTATGATTGTAAATATGGATGTTTTTGAGTGTTATATATGTAAATACATATAAGAATTGTGTGGCAGACATGTACTGTGCGAGCGCCATGTGTCAAAATTTTCTACCTCAGAAATTATTAAATAAAATTTCAGGTAGGATTTCCTTTAAAAACAATAAAACACTTTCTGCTTATTAAGTAGTTCGTGTTTGGAGCGTTCATTGTGAACGAATTGAACATGAATAAATTTTTAAGCTCGAATTATAAACAGGTCGAACACGAACAATCCTTTGTTTGATTGTGTTCGATTCGTTTGAGTTTGAAATAAAGAAATTATATATATTATTTATGTAGTTATACGGTATATATGTTTATATGTAAGTTTAAATTAGCATAACTCATGTGGACATGTTGTTTTGCATCTTTTATTGCATTGAAATGGTGCAAGTTTAAATCTAACACCTTATATTTATTTTTCGGGTTAATTCAAGTAAGCTAAATTGAGCCGAACACGAGCTGAAAGAGAACAAAAGCATTTTTTTGAGTCGAACATGAGCTCAAAATGAACACAAATAATAGTTCGAGTCAAACATGGATAGACTTTTCATGAGTCATTTTCACTATAATAATTAAGCTTATTTGTGTTGGCTAGATCAGACACAAATCGAAGGCAAATTCGATGATATTTAATGATTATCATCGGATTTGCATCCGATTTACATCCGATTTTTTCGACCGTTAAATCAGATGTCAGTAATGTTAATTCCGTCAATCTTGCATTGAAATATTCTGACACAAATAATTTGCATCAGTTTTTGTCTCGTATTAGCGTCAGATTTGTTTATTGAAAATATGCATCAAACTTTGCGTCTGAAAATATCTAATGATGAAAAATATTGTGAGGCTAACATCAAAATTGCAACAAAAAAATATCGATAGACGAAGAAATATTATTGTCGATATAGGGTCGGATTTTGCTTCGAAAAATGTATGTAAATCCGATGCAAACTTATATCA